AAAAAAAAAAAAGACACCTAAACTCAAAATGTCGGAGTTATCTTTGATTCTTCTGCTGATGAGATATCAAACATTAAAAATGTCCTTGGTTTCATCCTCACTGAATGAGCTTCAGGGCCCCAGCACAGTCGCTTGCGGGACAGCATCCCTCTACCTTGTGAAATGGATTCTTGCATCAAATCTTTCTGTGACATACATCCTTCCAGTTGATATAAAAGCTTCTATTATCTATTAGCTGTGATATACCCTTCCCTCTCACTATGCTCCTGCGGTTCTCTCATCTCTCTGTGCTTGTCTCTTTGCTTCTAAACTCCTTCTAGAAGAATGTATACAAGCCAGCACCTCTGATTTCTTTTATTTCACCCATCATCCTACTTCTCTTGTTTATTTTCTAGAGGCAACACTTGCAGTGGAAAGAATGAGTTTTGGAATCAGCCTGAATACAGATGTGCTCTGTCAGTTACTAACTTGCGCTCTGCCATGCTAATAAACCTCTCTGAGGTGCAGCTGCCATATCTGTAAAGTGGACGTAGTAGCACCTTCCTCATGGGCTGATGTGAGGACGTAATGACAGAGGGAATGTGATGTTCAGGCTCTGCACACTCACAAGCTCTCAAACCCTTCAGACTCATTTTTATTAGGAGGTGGGAGGACAGGAGACCTGTGCCCTGCTGCCCATGTCTTCTGTCTCAAAGGCTTTGAATCATATTTGCGGAGCATCTCTGATGGAAGCTCATTACCCTTCTCACCTTCACCATCAGTAGTTGCTACTTCTTTCCCAGAATTCATCTCCCACACAGCTGACTCAGTGCTGGGAAAGGAAGGTATTTTTATTCCCACTTAAAAAATGAGGAAACTAAAGTCCACAGAAGTTACATGATTGGTCCAAAGGACATACTTAAAAGAGAATTTGGGGAAATTGTCATTGGGGAAAAAATGTCTTGGGATATAGTAATGTGCTTTCATGTTAGCTCTCAGAGAAGGAGTTGGTTTCCATTTTTCTGTTTGTGCTTTTCAGCTTAATGATTAGGATTTAAAGGCTACCCTAAGAATATGTGAGAAGAACGTCTATAGGATCTACTCCATCATCCTTTTACCAGGCAGAACCAACTCTATCCATGTCAGACTGATGGGGGTACATCCTATTCTAAGAGTGATCTAGATGGAATAGCTACCAGTGTCTCCTTAGGCGGGCCATTCCAGTGTTAAACTTCCTCTACTTAAAAGGCCTTTAAAACCAATTCTGCCTTGAATAAAGATGGAGGGCAATTACTTTCTGAATGGCAGAGCGATCAGGAGCCTGGGCCTTAGTGTCAGACAGAACCGAATTTAATTTCACTTTTGTCCTTTACTACTTAGCAGCTGTGTAACCTTGAACAAGTTACTGAACATTTTTAAAGCACACATTTTAATATCTACTCATAAGTTTACTCTGAACCTAAATTAGGTCCTATGTGTAAAGAACTTTATAGAATCTGGCAGAGAGTCAGTGTTCAATAAATGGCAGTGAGTGCATATTAGCCATATGTTCCTTCAAGGGAATAGGTTTCATATTTATTATAGCCAGGAGAATTCCAACAACGTAAAAAACAAACAAAATGAACATGGTTAAAATGAGAGCCAAAGAGTTGTGTGCATTTACAACATATATTAATTTCTGAATCGTGATGACCACCGTTTTTCTCTTTTTATATTCTTTTCTCATTTATTTCCAGCATGTAATATTATCCTAGTCTTTTATTTGCCAAAGAATTTAAATGACTTAGAGAAAAATACGAAGCATCTACTTCTCTCTTTCTCCCTCTCTCATTAAGTCTTAATTACCAAAAAAGAAAAGAAAAGGAATAATTTGTGCAGGTGTCCATTGTTTGGTTGTTTTCTTGATTTACGTAAAAATGATCTCCAACCCTCTTCCCCTCTTTTCTCAAATGAGGAGGACAATGAAGACCTGAAATGCCAGCTGCAGTTCGTGAAGGAGGAGGCTGCCTTGATGAGAAAGAAAATGGCCAAGATTGATAAAGAAAAGGACAGATTCGAACACGAGCTCCAGAAGTACAGATCCTTTTATGGGGATCTGGACAGTCCTTTGCCCAAAGGAGAAGCCGGGGGCCCTCCCAGCACCAGGGAAGCTGAGCTCAAGCTACGGCTGAGGCTGGTGGAGGAAGAAGCCAACATCCTGGGCAGGAAAATCGTGGAACTGGAGGTGGAGAACCGAGGCCTGAAGGCGGAACTGGACGACCTGAGGGGCGACGACTTCAACGGCTCGGCCAACCCGCTCATGCGGGAGCAGAGCGAATCCCTGTCGGAGCTGCGGCAGCACCTGCAGCTGGTGGAAGATGAGACGGAGCTCCTGCGGAGGAACGTGGCCGACCTGGAGGAGCAGAACAAGCGCATCACGGCGGAGCTCAACAAGTACAAGTACAAGTCGGGCGGCCACGACAGCGCGCGGCACCACGACAGCGCCAAAACCGAGGCCCTGCAGGAGGAGCTGAAGGCGGCGCGCCTGCAGATCAACGAACTGAGCGGCAAGGTCATGCAGCTGCAGTACGAGAACCGCGTGCTCATGTCCAACATGCAGCGCTACGACCTGGCCTCGCACCTGGGCATCCGCGGCAGCCCCCGCGACAGCGACGCCGAGAGCGACGCGGGCAAGAAGGAGAGCGACGACGACTCGCGGCCGCCGCACCGCAAGCGCGAAGGGCCCATCGGGGGCGAGAGCGACTCGGAGGAGGTGCGCAACATCCGCTGCCTCACGCCCACGCGCTCCTTCTACCCCGCGCCCGGGCCCTGGCCCAAGAGCTTCTCCGACCGCCAGCAGATGAAGGACATCCGCTCCGAGGCCGAGCGCCTGGGCAAGACCATCGACCGGCTCATCGCCGACACGAGCACCATCATCACCGAGGCGCGCATCTACGTGGCCAACGGGGACCTGTTCGGCCTGATGGACGAGGAGGACGACGGCAGCCGCATCCGCGAGCACGAGCTGCTCTACCGCATCAACGCGCAGATGAAGGCCTTCCGCAAGGAGCTGCAGACCTTCATCGACCGCCTCGAGGTGCCCAAATCTGCGGACGACCGCGGCGCCGAGGAGCCCATATCCGTGAGTCAGGTACAGTTCTGCCTATTGCGAGCCACGGTGATGGCGAGGCTGGCCCGCAAGGCGAGGTCCCTGGTGGGGTGGCTCCGCGCACCGACCTCCACCCCCGCCTTCGGGAAGGCCCAGCTCAGAGCCTCGCTGGGCTTGAGAGCCGCGCTGCGCACCCGTTCTTTCCCACTGTCCTTGTTCAGGCCTGAGGTTTTTCTCACCCAGTCACTTAGTAACTATTTCTTGTGTTTTGTTTTTTTAAGAGAAGTTTAACCCCCCCCCCCAGTTTTTGTGTAAAGATTAAAGGATTTCTAAGATGGAGATGATTATCGAAGGTCGACATTTTCAATATTACTCTACTGATTCTAGTAGTTTGAGCTGCAAGAAGATCCTGAGTAGGAATCTTCTATTGTTGATTTGTTATTTTTGAACCAAGACTCAAATTGAGTTTAAAATAATTTTTAAATGGAGAAACCAGCAGTAAAGAAAGATATATTGTGTCTAGGGCCCTAGCAAAAGGAATAAAGGGACGTCACTCCTTTACCACAAATTGAAGTAGCATGATCACTATTTCTAGAAAGTATCACTGTCAGCTCTGTAGTGGAGAATCGCAGGACTGCAGAAGGAGTGCTATACTTGAGCTTTAAGACAACACTGATTCAGAGAAATAGTAATAACTATCCCCGAACAGGGAAAATCAGCATTTTTCCTTCGTCCTAATCTGTAGAAGCACACCCGATGAATTGGACTGAACTGCTCTAGCAAGGTATGATGGCCAAAGACCAGTGCATTTTGTTAGAGTTAACCACCTAAGAGATAATTTATGAAACAAAACAAGCAATGCTACCTACCCCGTCTAGCAAGCCTGGTGCCCTGTATCTATTGGAAAGCCCGCAGAAGTACAACAGCATGCAAGAGGTTTAAATTTAAATATCAGTGTATACACAGAAGCACGACTCACATTAGATTAACTGCCTGTTAATCACAACTACAAAAACTGCAACCCTGGCGCTTATTGATCTTGCATGTTGCTATGCTTTGCTATGAAAAAAAATACATATGATAAAACTTGTTAGATTTTTAAATGTCGAAGTTTATTTTCTTCTATTTATTATGGCAAATAATTGGTGTTTAGTTTTTCTGTTGCAGCTTTTTGGATACTTTGAGCATGTGTGGCTTTTCACTTATGCCTTTGGGGAGAATCAAGGGGAGAGAAAGCACGGTGTATAATACTAAGCTTTCAGATTTGGTAAATACAGGCTGAAGGGAGGCTTCTGCTTTATCTGATGTTGAATGAATGCTTAGGTTAGTTAATATAAATTTATGTTTCTAAAATTATTATTAATTAACTCTTCTCTTTGTCTTTGCATTTACTTTCCCAGATGTTCCAGCCTATCATTTTACTTATTCTCATTCTTGTATTATTTTCATCACTTTCTTACACAACAATATTTAAACTTGTCTTCCTTTTTACACTGTTTTTTGTACTGTAAATCTTTCATCATTTACCATTCATTGTAGTATTTTCAGTTTGTTTATTTTGTTCACCCTTCAAGACAAGAAGTAAAAGAAGTATAATTTCTGTAGTAACCAATGCTATGAAAACACTGAAGACTGCTTATTTCTTTAAAAAGACCCTCCTTACCACTACCAAATTCAGTAAGAAGCCAAAGCACTACACTATTTCAGGTAAGGAAGTAATTGTGAGTTTTTTATATATAAATCATTTTAATTTTTGCTTCTTTTACATTTTAATTTGTATTCTTCTTGATAAATAGTTGGCAGCATGACTGTAAAAATTGGCTAACTTTCAATTATTTCTCATTAGTTGAATATTATGATAATTCAAAAGCTGGACATTTACAAGTTGGGCACATTTCCAAATATATATATTTGTAAACTACCTTTGCTAAGTTATATCAGACTAGCAAGATCATTTTGATATCCAATAAATGTCTATGAAAATTTTGGTGGGCGAATGAAATGTGACCCTCATGGAAAATTAAGTAATTGGTTGCGATGCTGTTGGTGTTCTGTCTAAAGAGATGTATTTAGAAGCATAAATGTAGATTAGGCCTTAGTTCAGTGAGAAAATAATTATCCCCATCCTACTGCATTTGACCAGCTTTCAACGAAACCAGCCTTTCTAATCAAGTTTGTTGTCTGGAGCCCTCTCTTCTGTAACATATTATCCCACAGAACTGCCTCCACAGCGGGAGGCATGCTAGAAATAGAGCATGTGAAATGTTTTGGATAGGAAAAGCTATAGTCATTTCTAGAATTTCATTAAATCCCAAACCAAAGTCAGTAGTATAGTTCCAGTCAGAATTACTCTCTAGACATAAACTTACTTTGGTGAACCTGAGCACCCCCTGTCCCTTCCTAGCTAGGCTCCATGTACTCCGAAGGTCCTATCTGCTCATCTCGTTAGCAGTTTACCCAGTGGAAAGGTCGCATGCACCAGAGCCACCCAAGATTCAGAAATCCTGGCACTCGAAGTCACATACTTGGAAATACTTGCCAATTGGTTGGTGGCTATGAAAATCTGTTGAAAAGTGAATTTATATTTTTTAGAACTCCCCGGAACCACTGCTTTAGATGTTTGGATTTTCTGAAATATATATACGCAGCCTCTACCGAGTTTACAGTACACTGTGTGAGACTAGCTTTATAGAACCATCAGTTGTCTTGGTTTGAATAGACCATAAGGTTCCAGCCATTCGGAGAGTGTGCAAATCTTCATTAGAGTATTTCCACCTTTGTCATACAGCCTTAGCCATGACAAAGCAGTTCAATTTCACACTGGTGATAACCTTAGAAAACTCTCCTTTCATTAATATAGGTTCTCAAAACCAACGCAATCAGAGAAGACAAGTAGGAATAATACATGACAGAAAGGAGAACCAAGCTGAACAATGTGTGTGTCCAGGGTCAGGCACACACATGGAGGTCCAGGCACATGTGCACACTGCGCTAAAGTCTCAAGGTGATCACACACACACACCCTTGACAATCCACCACGTTGTCATTATGTAGTTATCTCTGTCACAGAGCTTCCCCATGTTTATCAAGAGAGAGCACATGGTGTCCCACAAGTTTACCAGGAATGAGGAATGCCAACTGACTACCCTCGAAACCAAGGTAGAAAGAGCATACACAAGAGATGTGAGAATGGAGCAAAAGGATGGATCCTTGGTCTGTTTAACAAACATTCTGAAGTATTTGCTATGTTCAGTTTAGAAGAAAGTGAGGTTCAGTTTCTACTCTTTTCAAGTCCTTAATTGGTTGATGGAACAAAACAGACATGTAAATACCTAACTCTGACACGTACTCTTATTGAATTGCAAAAAACAAACAAACAAAAAACCTTGTGGTTTTAACTTATTGTTTATTAGACTCCTGATAGCATGTTAGATTTTTCTAAGAAAACCCAATAAAATTCTTAGGCATTCTGGGACAAAATGATACCATAAATATATGCAGGGTTGGTGCACATACCCCAACAGCATCTTGTGACCTGAATTAGAAAGGCTAAAATTGGCTGACCAAGGGAGGTCTGGGCTAATTGAAACACCAGCCTCATCTTCAGATCTCATATTAGGAATTAAGGTCATCCTGGCAACAAGGGTATTAATCTTACCTATGAACTCCTAAGGCATTGATTTTCTAGAAGAATTTCATGAGCGTCTTGTACTCTATCCAGACTCTCTCCATATGTGAAACTCCAGTAAGATACTGGGGAGGGGAAACAGGACTGCTGTGGCCACTGCTGACAGATTCTGGGGGGTTGGGGATCACTCTGACAGCTCCTCTGAAGTTAGGCAACTTTACTATATACGAGTAGTCAAAGTCCAGGGAAGGTCTGCCCTACCCACTGCCCAGCTGGCTTCCCCGTTTGTACCTGCATGTGTGCACACACCTCTGCCACACTGTGGTGTACAAGGAGAGCTGCCTCCCATGTTGAAGAATTCAGACCCACTTCTATCTCAGGACTGCTGGGGGCCAGTAGTTGGGGGTGGTCTCAGCAAACCACCAGCAAGCACGAAGTGATCTTGTCCCTTGCCTATTCTCCCCGGAACTTCAGGTGTGTTGTGAGCACTCAGTATCTGGGATACATCTCTTCCTTACACCACAGGACATAGACTTGAGAAAAGAAGTTAACAAAGATGGTGCCCACCACCTCAGAAAGTTTCCAGCATCTTCTTCCCCTCTCTTTGGAGCCTGGTACTGCCATTATCTTTGTTGTATAAAGCTACTTCTAAAAGAGGAGCACCCAGGCTTTGTTCAAGAGAGCAAAATACCCCAATTATTGATATAAAGAATCCTATTTGTACATCTGAAGCTGTGCTATTTAAACATCATGCTGAAAATAAGTTCAAACAAACTAGGCTTATTGTAAAAAATTCCCTCACATGCACATTCTTGGGCATAGGAAGGAGTGTCTTTGGTAATCTGGCCTAATTTAAGAAAAAAAATAATTCAGTTGACTATTTTTAAGCATAACTGACTGAAACTCATAAAACAAAGGAAAATTCAGTGCTGAGCCTGGAATGTGTATTGGCCTGCATTCCCCAACCTTCACTTCAGTTTGTGTGGTAGAGTGGGATACAGTTGTTTAATCAGCTGCCAGGGAATTTGGAATGTCAGTTTGGTAGCTCTGCCCTAACTTCAACTATTCATGCAGTGTCTGTCGCTATATTCTTATAGAACTACAGCCACTTTCATCTGGTAGAGTTGTGCTTTGGGTCAGATGCCATAATTGAATGTAAGGATTGAAGAGAAAGTGGAAAATAATATCAGAAAGTGAGAAAAGGACTGTTATTAAACTACTTGGATTTGGTACAGTTCAGAAATAGTATTTGTGAACGCTCTACTGCTTAAACCCTAGTTATAAACCAGTTAGGTCTAATGAAGATAGTTTTGATTCTATGTGTGCAATTTTGATTTAGCTTTTGGGAGGTGAAGCTATTGCATACATTTCCTGAGTAGGTCCTGGTATTCTCAACAGCCTACTTGTAGAATTTCAGAGGGAAACTCACACAAAGTAAGAAAGCTTTATGGCCTGTACATGATAGGAAAACCTTCATAGTGACTGTAATTAATGTAACATAGTAAATATTAATACTTCTAGGGCCGGCCGAGTGGCTCAGTTGGTTAAGAGCTCGCTCAAGAGTTTGAGCTCTGAGCAACAGCGGTTCAATTCCTGGCCTGAGCTGAGCAGCCGCTGAACTGCCAACAGGTGGCAGGATGACGCAGCTTAAAAAAATAAAAAATAAATAAATAAACTAAATATTAATACTTCTAAACAGTGTGTTTGCATTCATCAGTTGGGAGAGGGGGACATGGTGGTAGCTGTTTTAAATGTTGGCCATTCTAAAAGTGTGTGCCAAATCATAGGGTATCTAAAGATCCTTTCCATGTAATTTAGTAAGTACATTTTAGTCCACACCTTCTCTGCGTAGAGACTCACTCACTCTGAAGTACTCAGTCGCAGTTTTCAAGTAACTCTGGGGCCGTCCTGGTGAAGTTGTGGGTAATTTTTTAAACACTTCCAGGAACAACTTCCAAGTAGAGTACTATTATAACCTCATGTGATCGGAAACGAGGAGCAACAAGTATAACCCTCACCTCTTAAAAATAAGGAGAAATTTCAGAAATCTCTACCTTTCACTGCCCACTGTTAAGCCAGGCTGTACCATCCTAAAGAGCCTCATCTTATCTTATATCTCAGATGTTTATGTTTAATAAACTCAAAGGAATTGACATTGCTTGATTATTTACATTTGTTACATTTCCTGTAACAATTTCATTGTTATAAAAGTTTTTTAGTTCATAGTTATATGAGTTTTCATATAAACCATTTTTCAAAACAGGGTGCCATCAAAACCTAACATCTAAAAATAAAATTGCACAATTTTATAAGTTCGTAAAATGTACAATGATATAAGAATACATAATCAGTGGTTTCTAGCAATTATTCAGTCTTTTGATAAATATTCACGTAACCTTACTGACTTGTGTATTAGAATGTTTCTTTAAATGTTTTCTAAACCAAAATTCCTGCTTAGGGTATTTCAAGCCCAGCTCATATTATTTTGATTTTATTTTGGTGATATTTCTTTTAAATTTTCAGTACATTGTTAGACATATTAAATAAATAAATAAAAGTTTTTATCTTCTTCCAAAATAAAGATTAAATGAACAGCACATTGGAGGACTGCACAATTGAAAAACTAGAACCTTTCAGAAAAGTTCAGAACACTGACTCATTTCACAAAATGGCAAAACGACCCTAAAGTCTTGAGGAACGGGGAAGCTCTCTCAGGAACTTTATATGTGCTACACACTCCAGGGAAGGAGCTCGGGATGTTGTCGATTCTGAATACATGAGCTTTATGTGTTTATTTTCTGTAGTCTCTCGTGAGTGTTTTCAGTTGAGCTGCTTATTAATGTGTCAACAAATAAGATGCAGAAGTGATTCTCGACGGCTGGCCAGCCACGTTTGTGCCTTTCTGAGGGTGTCCTCCACAATGTACCTTAAACTCAGCAAGTCAGCTCTTTAAATTCACGTCCAAAGCGCCTGCATCAATGGAGGCCTTTGGAAGTGAAGGGGGTGTGAGAGGCAGAGAGAAGCTCATCCGCTTGCCCACTTGCTTCAAATGATTTAGTAAGGGGAGAGAGTGTAAGAG